GATGATATAAAAGGCTAGTAAGTTTGAGTAGGGCCTGGATCAGTAAAGGGATCTGTAGAAGATTCAGGATGTGATCCAAGTAACCCTGCAAACTGGGCCATATGATCTGCCAGATCTATGGTATTATATGTGTTGGTGGTGGGAAAATATACAATATAGCTTTTATGTAAGAGATCCATGGAACTGTAAAGGAGCTGCTCCATCAAAAGTATGTGGAGCAGATCTGTGCAGCCTAAGGGGTGGAATGTGGCTGCCATAGAGGTGTGCCACTCAGATCTCTTCAAGAAAACCTGATGCAAAGAACCTAGAGACATCATACTTCCTGATTTCAAACTATATTATAAAGCTAAAGTAATCAAAACAGTATGACATTGGCATAAAAACAGACACATAATCAATGGAACAGAATATAGAGCCTAGAAATAAACCCAAACATATATGCTCAATTAATTTAAAATGCAGCCAACAATATACAATGGGGAAAGGATACTATAATAAATGGTGTTAGAAAACTGGACAGCCACATGCAAAAAGAAACTGAACCCTTACTGTAAAGCATATAAAAGAATTAACTCAAAATAAATGAAAGGGAAAAAAAATGAAAGACTGGAACATAAGAGTGAAACCATAAAACTCCTAGGAGAAAACAGAGGGTAAGTTCCTTGACAGTGGTCTTGGCAATAATTTTTTTGGATTTGACACCAAAAGCAAAGGCAAACAAAACCAAAGGGACTACATCAAACAAAAGCTTCTACAGGGGCACTGGGTGGCTCCAGGCTCAGTCGTTGGGTGTCTGCCTCTGGCTCAGGTCATGATCCCAGGGTCCTGGGACCGAGCCCCGCATCGGGCTCCTTGCTCAGTGGGAAGCCTGCTTCTCCCTTTCCCACACCCCTTCTTGTGTTCCTGCTCTCGTTCTTTCTGTCAAATAAATAAATAAAATCTTTAAAAATAAAAAAAGAAAAAGCTCTTATAGACTGAAGGAAACCACGAAGAGGCAGCCTATGGAATGGTAGAAAATATGTACAAATTATATATTTGATAAGTGGTTAATAAAAATGGAAAGAGGACCTGAATAGAAATTTTTCCAAACACAAGCTACAAGTGGCCAACAGGCACGTGAAAAAGTGCAACATCGCTAATCATCAGCGAAATGCAAATCAAAACCAAAATGAGCTATCACTTCACACCTATTAGAATGGCTATTATCAAAAAGACAAGGCAGAAATGCTGGCAAGGATGTGGAGAAAAGGAAAAGCTTGTACACTGCTGGTGGGAATGTAAATTGGTACAGCCACCATGAAAAATATTATGGAGGCACCTCCAAAAATTAAATAAAACTACTTTATGATCCACTATCTGCAACTACATGTTCACTACAGCTTTGTAAGAGCCATGGTATGGGAACAACTTAAAGTGTCTATCGGGGCGCCTGGGTGGCTCAGTCGTTAAGCGTCTGCCTTCAGCTCAGGTCATGATCCCAGAGTCCTGGGATCGAGCCCCACATCGGGCTCCCTGCTCGGCGGGAGGCCTCCTTCTCCCACTCCCCCTGCTTGTGTTCCCTCTCTCGCTGTGTCTCTGTCAAATAAGTAAAATCTTTTTAAAAAGTGTCCACCAATAAATGCATGGATAAAAATAATGTGGTATCTAGATGCAATGGGATATTATCCAGCTATAGAAAAGGAAATCTTGCCATCTGTGACAACATGGATGGAATTTGGGGGCATTATGCTAAATGAAATAAGGTCTGACAAAGAAATCTCTAGTGATCTATGTGGAATGTAAACCACATAAACTCACAGGAAAGAAGATCAGATTTGTGGTTGGTCAGAGGTGGATTTGCGGAGGGTGGGGGGGAGGATAGGTGAAGGTGGCCAAAAAGTACAAACCTCCAGTGATAAGATAAATGAGTTCTGGGGATGTCATGTACAGCATGCTGACTACAGTTAATAATGCTGTATTGGGGCGCCTAGGTGGCTCAGTCGTCAAGCGTCTGCCTTCAGCTCAGGTCATGATCCCAGAATCCTGGGATCAAGCCCTGCATCGGGCTCCCTGCTCAGCCAGAAGCCTGCTTCTCCCTCTCCCACTCCCCCTGCTTGTGTTCTCTCTCTCGCTCTCTGTCAAATAAATAAATAAAATCTTTAAAAAAAAATACTGTATTGTAGATTTTAAAGTTTCTAAGAAAGTAGACCTTTAACATAAATCTCTCAAGAAAAACATTTATAACTGTGGTGATGGATGTTAACTAAACCCATTGTATAATTCTGCAGTATATACACATTGCAAATCATTGTTAAATACCTTAAATTGATACAGTGTTACATTTCAATTATATCTCAATAAAGCTGGGGGGCAGGGGTGTGAGGCAAGCAGCCTCCAGCTCCAACTCCTTATCTGTCACAGCATTTGTGTAGAGGCCCATTTCTCCTCAAGCTGCTCCTAGCATACTAGCCAGGCCACTTCTGTCCAATACTGCACTGCCATAATGGGTAATCTGCTCTAACATTCCTCTATCAGGTTGACAGAGACTTTCTCAGGACAGCTTAGGTCTGATGCTCTTTCCGTTCAATTTTCTCTGTCAGAGGTGTCATATGCTTTTCCCTGGCTACTGTTCCCTCTCCCTTGTACCCTTCACTGCCATCTTCTTCAAACACCTCTAGCTCACTCCATCTTAATGTCTGCCTGTTGGAGGATCCAAAGTAACACTAGCATGGATGCTTTAACCAATAAACTTTTTTAAAGATTGTATTTTTGGGGGACACCTGGGTGGCTCAGTCGGTTAAGTGTCTGCCTTCGGCTCAGGTTATGATCCTGGGGTCCTGGGATTGAGTCCCACATTGGGCTCCCGGCTCAGCCAGGAGCCTGCTTCTCCCTCTGCCTGCAGCTCTCCCTGCTTGTGTGCTCTGACAAATAAAATCTTTAAAAAAATAAAAAAGGTTGCATTTATTTATTTCAGAGAGACAGTGGGAGAGCAAGTGAGAGTAGGGGGAGGAGCAAAGGGAGAGGGAGAATATCTCAAGCAGACTCAAGCACAGAGCCCAACAGGGGGCTGGATCCCACAACCCTGAGCTGAAGGTGGACATATAACTGACTGAGCCACCCAGGCTCCCCTGAGCTAAGATTTTTAAAAAATACTTTTAAAGAGTTATTTTATAGGTGGTTGTAGGTCACCGAGAAAATTTAAAATTTTATGACTGAATGAGGTTAGACCATCAGGAGGGTTTCTTACTGTGCTGGCTTTAATGGATTATATTTTAGTGTCACAGTACTGATCTACATTGTGGGATATCTCAAGATCAGAACATATTGCCTCTCGTGCAATAAATTTGCTTCTATCTTAAGGTTACTAAGAATCTTCTAATTATCTTTTTTAAAGATTTTAGTGAGCAAGAGAGAGCAAGCATGCAAGTAGACCTCAATCTCACGACCCTGAGCCAAAATCAAGAATCAGCCGCCCAACTGACTAAGCCATGCAGGTCCCCCTGTAATTTTTTTTTTTTTAAAGATTTTATTTATTTATTTGAGAGAAAGAATGAGAGAGAGAGAGAGAGAGAGAGAGAGCACATGGGAGAGGGGAGGGTCAGAGGGAGAAGCAGACTCCCTGCTGAGCAGGGAGCCTGATGCGGGACTCGATCCGGGGACTCCAGGATCATGACCTGAGCCGAAGGCAGTCGCTCAACCGACTGAGCCACCCAGGCGCCCCCCCCTGTAATTTTCTTATTCCACTCTTTGCCAATTTTGTTCCACCTCTAAGCAAATGTGTAAGACCTGATACTATGTATTTGCATGATTTTAACCCTTGTTTCATCCTATTTTTGCCCTTTATTTTGGCTTCTCTACCATTTAATACATCTCTGTTAAGTCACATTAAATCATTTTTAGGAAACAAGTCACACCATCCTAAATTATTCCTTATGGTGCATGGTATGCATATTCCCCACTTGTTTAATTCTCCTGATTTATAAGAAAAAGTATTTTTGTTATGAGCTGATAGAGAAAAACTGGAGAAAATATGAAATAAAAGGTTTCTTATATAAAATTCCTTAGTCAATGAAGTGTGGAGACAAGGAATAGTCTAGGAGAAATGCCTCAAATGTGCACATGCACATAAATGCGTACACACTGTGTTCCAACCACAAAATCTTATGAAAGGGGCTTAAGTAGGAACACCAAAAAGTAATCAAGAAAGAAAATCTAATGTACTTCAATTCTGAGATGAAAAGATTAAGCAGCTCTTGAATAAGATATCAATAACCAAGATTTACATAAAGATCAGTATTTATTATTCAACTATGTGTTAAGCACTACACATGTATTATAGCAAAGTTATACTTACACTTTAATCTAGTAAAGTAGGTACAATTATTTCCAAATTTTACAAATACTCTCCTATGGCTTGAAGAGGGTGGTATGTCCAAAGTCCATGTAACCAGTAAATAATGGAATTAGAATTTATATCAATATCTGACTACAAAGAATATCAATATTTTTTGTCCTAAGTACTAGGGCTGCCTCTGTATACACATAGAGGTATCAGATCTTCTATAATTCAAATATATTGGGTCAGACATGGTCTCTAGCTACAAGAAGATTAAAACAGTGAGTGATACTGTGATGAGTGTATGCCAGGGAGTTGTCAGAGGGAAATAGAAAAAAAGCTGCATTTCTTCAGAGATTAAGAAAACACAGAAACCATTATTTAGCATGGACAGATAAAGTGGGATGGAAAAGGGCAGGGCTAAATCCATGTAATACATATTTACATGTAAAATGATACATATTTTAGTGCCTATGTACTAAGAGGAGAAGTAATCATTTCAGAATATATTATAGAAAAATCAGTATCTCAAGAACCAAAGGAGTTTGCAAAATGAAGAAAAGGAAAGAATAAAGAGAATGACACATGTGGAGCTAGACTTCAAGTCTAGCCATACGGACTGAAGTGAATTCATATAAGATGGAGTGGGCAGGAATAACTGCCAAAAGAACAAATCACACTCCATACTATTTTATTCCCAGTTCTGGTGTTTTTATTTTAGAAAACACATTGAATCAAACAGGTTAGAGCTACTGCTTCCTTGTTCTGGGTATTTCTATCCTCCATTTCAAAAAACATACAGTCAAATCTATCTTCGTCCATTCTGTGAATGAAGTAATAAGCAAAAAGGATCACTGGTTACTTCAATAGAACCTAGAGGGGAAAAACACATACAGCTCACTTAAATCAGATTTAAACAGTCTTTGTAATTAAGATGAGAAAAAAGAAAAAGAAAATATTGAAAATTAAGTTGTGACAATAAAATATTATAAACTGTCTAGATTACCAAAGAAATTTACAATTGGTTTTTTTGTGATTACCACACTTTACCTTTGTGAACTCATCTGAAAAAGGTATACTAAGTATACTAAGGTATGGTCTGTTATTCTGACATATAAAGATGTATCAGTAATATTATCCCTTAACAATCCTATTAATATATAGACAAGTGTTGATTTTAGTCAGAAAAACTGTACCAAGAGGAAAACCTTGAGGCAAAAATAATTCTTGTACATCACACAAAATAAAACATAAAATTATACCAAAATACCTGAACAAACAAAATTAAATGTAAATGTTATATTCTTACCCTATTACCCTAGGTTACTTTTTTTTTTTTTTTTAATTTTTATTTTAAGTAGGCTCCATGCCCAATGTGCGGCTTGAACTCACAACCCTGAGATGAAGAATCACACGCTCTACCAACCGAGCCAGCCAGGCCATCCAGTTACATTTCTAGTAAGTTATACAATAAACAATAAATTTTTGTTCAGATTAAAATTCAAATTGGTCGTCTTCTTTCAGTTCTAAAGCACTGTCATCTCTATATGAACTATATGAAAATTTTCGTGATAAAGACAAAACTGTTCAAAAAGATTTAGAAATTCTAACCATATTAACTTAGGCTGTGTAGTCTTGTGTTCCATACTGGGATACATAATGTCATTTGGCATTAGGATAAATATTTTTTAATAGAAGGCAAGTTCCTTTTACACTTTAAAAAAAAAAGAATACTGAATATTTAGTCAATGGTATCAGTTATTCTAGCTTCATGTTACTATTCACCCATGCTATACTAGATCTAAGGAATCCATTCCTCTTCTCCATTAACCAGAAATTACAAAGAACCACAGGCTTCTTTGTGTCTTATCTTAACAGGGGACACCTTTTCATTACCAAACCCTGTAATGATATACTCATTCATTTTACATATAAGCCATCTAAAATAGTCACCCACTGCTTGCCTTAATATCCTTTATTTGAACAGACTTCCCACCATATGAGATAACCACAAGCACAAACAGTGACAACTTTTTATTGGTATACCATAGCTCTCATTACAGAGCATTTCATTTCTTCAGTTACTACAACAGATTTAGAAAGATATATGATATATAATGCAATGAGCACTTTATTAAAAGCAGATAGGAGACTTGGGCCCTTGCTCTGGCTCTGTTATCTTGGGAAAGTTACTAACTTCTGTGAACCTTAGTTTCCTTACTAGCATACTCAAGATTATAATAATACAGCCTTTAAGCTTTCCAGCTTAAAAATTCTAAACTTCTATGGCAGGCACTTTTATGAGGTAGTTCAATCTGTTACTACAACTATTAATAGGAAACAGGACTCCTTTTCTTTAAATAATTTCTCCTCTGGATATCCTGTTTTCACCATCTATAAAATTTGAAAACAATTTGTGTGCTACTTTAATGAAGCTAATTAACACTTCTAAAATGTTTACATGTATATCCTAGAAAAAAAAAGACATATTATCTCACTTTTAACTTTTATCTGAAAGACTAAAGATTTATTTTCTCTCCAGTTATAAAATACCTAAGTCATAATGCTGTACTGCCTATTTAAAAGTTGCTGAGAATAGATCTTTAAAGTCCCCATCACAAGAAAAAAAAATTCTGGGGTGCCTGGGTGGCTCAGATGGTTAAGCGTCTGTCTACCTTTGGCTCAGGTCATGATCCCAGGGTCCTGGGATCGAGTCCCACATCGGGCTCCTGGCTCAGCGGGGAGCCTGCTTCTCCCTCTCCCTCTCTCCCTGCTCATGCTCTCTCTCTATATATATGTATCTCTGTGTCTCAAATGAATAAATGAAATCTTAAAAAAAAAATTCTGTAATTATGTACAGGGATGCATGTTACCTAGACTTACTATGGTGATCATTTCCCAATGTATATAAATATTAAATCATCGTGTTGTACATCTAAAGCTTAGAGTATATGTCAATTATATCTCAATAAAAAATTTATTCTCTAGTAAATGTCTATAAAATAGTAACTGCTTTGATTTTCTGATTTCATTAGAAACTTGAAAAAATCCGAATCAATTTGAAGTCTAGATGAAATTAAGAATCACAGGACTTCTCTTTCAGTCCAAGTGATCTTAAAACAGCTTGTTTCCAGCAACAATAAAAACACTACAGTTAAACTTGTGGCTGAATGAATAAAAGGATCTGCATCTTACTATAAATTTCAATTCTGAAATTTAATCTTACCAGGGACTTAAAAATCCCCATTTCTTCTATTCAGCCTCTCTAAATTCTAAAAAAGTAATCACAATGTTGATACTCTGATAAAAACGTCTCAAGGCAGTTGCTGATGCAAAGGAAATAAAGCTGTTTACCCTGAAAGATATAGACACAGAGAATGCAAATGAAAAGGGGAAGATACACACATACAGAAAAAAAGGGAGCAGAGATGAAAAATGGCAACACTGGAAAAGTAAAATTCTGGGGGAATGAATGAGACAGAGAGGCATACAGGGCGACTAAAGGGAGGAAGAGATACAAAGACAGGAAGGAAAAAACACAACTAAAGAAAATGGAAGAAAGTAAGAGCAGAGACAGAAAAGCAACAAAGAAAGGTGAACAGAGTGGAACTGAGGAGCAGACACAGTGACAAGGAAATGGGACCAGACAGGTAAGACATAACTAGCTGAAGAAAAAATTTTCACCCCGTAAGTTTTCCAAATTACCTACTTTTGTTGCTATCTCCCCAATGCTGCCACTGAAAAAGACACTTTTATTTTTTACAAAATGGTTAAACAATGTGTATTTCATTTATCTTACAGATTTTTAAAAATTTTATTTATTGTAAGAGGCATAATTTTTGCCATCATTTAGGTTCACATATTGTATGCGAAATAACTTGATGGGGGAGGTTTCTTTTATAATATATACACCTATCAAATCATGATGTTGTATACTTTAAATATCTTACAATTGTCAATTATACCTTTATAAAGCTGGAAAAAGGTTCATATGTATCAATATACTGGGAAAAGATCCCGAATTTTACATAACGCTAATTTTTTTTTTTCCAAAGTAAAAAATGATAGTACCCTAGTTAGGCCAAATTCATCCTAAGGCAAGGACCTATAGAGCCATTTATGATTTCATACCACAATGGCATATAATACCACTAGACTGATAACACATTCTTAGTTGAAAATAACTTACCATTTAGAGTCAAAATCCAAACATTTTAGTCCTGTTTCCATTTTCTGCCCCCTTTGCTTCACTTGATATGTTATGCTCTATCTCTTCTACGTAGATTCTTTCAGTAGCCATCAATCTGAAGAATTCCTTCTTCTGCTGCCACCTACCAGTTTATCTCTCTGCTGCAGCAGAAGGGTATATAGAAAAAGTTCTTGCTTACTATTCAGATTAAATGGAAAAATTCCTTTAACATTTCATACTTTCACATGTGTATGAGCTTCCTCACTGATTCCCCAAGACCTCCCCGCCAAAGTCAAAACAACAAAAATCCCAATCACAGAGAATCAAATAATGTAACGTATGATCAATATTCATGCTAAGCTGGGAATTTTTTTTAACTGGAAAGATTTAAACACTCAGCAGTTGCCATCTCAAGGAACCATTCCTTTTTTTCTATTTTCCTTTTTAACCTATCCCTACAATCTTATGAATAAGTGTGCCATTTAAAATTTTAATGAGGTAGTCCACAACTCCTGTAAATTTTAAGTTCCGAGACTATTAAAGAATTGTGGAAGATGTAGCAATAAAGGAGTTTTTAATAGTAATTCTAGAAACTAAAGGTATTAGGTGCTTTACCTGCATGAGTTTTCAATTTTCTGGACTGCTTATTGCCCAATGGCTCTGAATACATTAAAACACGAACACATACGCCACCTATATTTAAAATAGGGTAGCATTTGTATGCCCATATAAGCATTGGGTATATCTTTGTACAAGAGTAATAAAGTCACTGAGTCCTTTTAAAAGGACTGGTCACAAATGCACATTTCCTCAAACTGTATACATACACAAAAAAACTAGGGTTGAAAAGGGAGACAGAGGGACAAACGTAATAGCAGTTGTAAAACTGGAAACTAATACAACATAAATGTTTTGTGTCCTGAGATTCATTTCTGTTCCCATTCTTTGTCACTGAAGGTCTAGGTTTCAAGTTTATTCTGTATTAGCTACTAAAGAACAGTATCCACTAGTGAACTAGTAATAATTGTAATGGCTTGTTTTGTTCCACCCTCCCACTACCTTTACCCCAAAACAGGTAGTTTTGCCAACATAAAACAAACACTGACATTAAGCACCAAAGGCTAGTCAACAGTGGCACTGCAGTGACATTGTTTCTACTTTCTCATTCCTTCCCCCGATCTCAAACCCCACCCCCTTTGACCTCTGTATATGGGATGAGCCTGAGCAGGAGAGTTGGTGATGTCAGGACTGCGCCGTTCCCACGGATGCTCCTAGAGGCCTGCTGTGCTTCTGGGAACTGGGGCACAGTGATGTCTGTCTGACTGAAACCTAAAACAACAACAATTCACCCCACCCCTCATGTTCCCAAACCCCACAATAGCAGCCAGGTATATATGCTATATAAGGCCCAGCTAATAAGTTTGAATATGGTGAAATCTGAAAGCAAGATCATTCTTAACAAGTCCGTGATCTTCATGGGGATATCAGAAGGGGGACTGTTAAATTCTCCACGTCCCATGCAATCACACAGTCCTCACATTCTAATGCCGGCCATTCTTAGCAAGAGAACAACGTTCTCTGGTACAAGCCCTTTTTTAGTATCTATCATAAATTCCTTCAGGAGGCAGCTGGGATTCCTCTGTTAGTAAATTTTACTTCAACACATACATAATTTTGTCTTAAGATGTTTAGGGGAGAAATGGCCCTATCTTATATAAGTGAATTGAAGCACAAAACAGGTTAATGATTTATTTTATGCTTTCAGCTGTAGAATGCATTATAAGCCACAATATCCTATAAGCTAACTAGTGAATTTAAAACCTCTTCAGATAGGACATCTAAAGTCACAGAATAAAATTGTGCAGAAGTCTATGTTGAAAAGGTCCTGACCACTGTCACTAAAACTCTAAGAGGATTATCCTCGCAATGGTAACAACTCATATCAGAACTAAAACTCTAGGAATGACAGGAGAAAGGAGGAAAGGGCAAGGGCCTGGGGTATACAGAGAAAGGTATACTACATTAACAGAAAGGCTATATTAAAATGGACAAGTTGCATTCCTATTCCTGCCACTAAGCCCTTGGTTAATGGGCTTAATGATTTGTGCTTCAGAAATGCCCTCCAAACTGCTCAAACCTGTAATTTTTTAAATATTTGAACCATTATGATAACCTGAAACTGTTCACATCTATCTCTTTGTTAGAACTAGTGTCTTAGAAATGCTAAAATGATTAGTTCTGAAATCACACTGTTCCTAAAATAACTGAAATGCTTTTCTATTTTCTTTGTCTCATCATTCCTTTTCACCTTTACAATGATGTCACAGAAAGAGAAGCACTATGATCAACTCAACACTATGGTGAGTTTTTACCATATATATAACCTAGAACCTAATTTTACCTTTTCAAACTCTAGTTTTCCATACCTGTCAACTCCTAATTGATGTCTTTATACTGTGAGCTCACTGTGTATTCGGAACACCAACCCCTGAAAAAGCTTAAGCCAGAGTAGCACAATGGAAGAAACAAACAAACCCAAAACAAAAACAAAGCCAAAAAAGTCACACTCTGAAATACTTAATTATAGACATATATGCAAGGAATGGAGTTATCTAAATGGCTAAAGTAAATCCCCAAAGAAAGTCCTGAGTTCATCCCAACCAATTCAAACTTTACCCCCAAAAGTTCTTTAATCAAATTATTTGTTAGATATACTTAAGCGTTATTTTCTAAGTAAGAGTTTTTACAAACCCATGGTTGCCTTTAAAGTACATAAAGAAAGAAAAATTTTTAAAAAGAAAGTAAAGTTAGCCTTGCGATGGAAAGAAAGGAGAGTCAAATTACCTGCAAGCAGGCTGGGGCTGTGCCTGAATCCAAACCGCTGCATTTACCATTCATTATACAGCTGCATTATTGGGGGAAGGGGAGTTTAGAAGGGCACTGACCCCGAAAGTTCTCAATACTTCTCACTCATCATCAGGAAGGGGGAAGAAGGAAAGTTTTTTCTCTGGGTATTTTTTTGTTTGTTTGTTTTTGTTTTTTTGGCTCCTGAAAAGGCTGGCAAAGAACAGTAACAGTGCAAGCAGTTAGAATATTTCTTTAAAAACAATTTAAAAAAATGCAAAACATTAAGGAATTTAAAACACCAAACTTCCGTTAATATAGAAAGAATTTTCACTAGAGTTAGGCAGCCACCCCAAAACAGCATGGCAAAAGGGCACTGATATAAAGGAAATAAAATACCACACAAAACTCCAAAACAAAACTAAAAACATTTCAAATTAAACCTGGAAGACTAGAAGATTCCAACAGCAGATTTCTGTCCACTACTGAAACATTCCAAAATCCAAGCTTCAAAGGCGCCTAAATGTATCTTAAATGAAACTTTGTTTTTTTTTTAAGAAAAAAAAAAAGAAAGAAAGAAAGCAGTGAACCTGGTTATAAATCCTGCAATATATTACATTTAAAAATATCCTAGTACAACAAAAACAAATTTTAAATGAAATTAAACAAACAAACAAACAAATAAAAACAGTAGCAGCAGAGGTTACCTGTCTGAGCACCTACATTTTCTTAGGAGGGGATCGTGTCTCACCAGCCATATAGCCCATAAACCTTCTCAAAAAGAGTGAGCCAGGAGAAAAATGTAACACAAGATTTGATTTCACAATGTCTCTACGCTCCCCAGACCCCAAACTGGGGATTCACTGAATGAAGAGAATTTGTTTTTCCATTGTTTTCTTCTTGAGAAAAAGATGATTTTTAAAGTCAATTCTTTCCAATGCCTTCGATACCTTCTCAAAAGTCTGATAAAGTGCTTGATGAAAACAAGTCTCTTGGTGGATTTTTCTAACGTTCCAGCATATTTTCTTATTGATAGCATATACAGAAAGATTTCAAAGTTCAGTGAAGGAAAAGCCAGCAGAAATGACCAATCAATTTTAGGCACCAAAAAAAAGAAAAAACTATTAAAAATTTTAAATGGAATAGTTCATGGGTGTGTGTGTGTGTGTGTGTGTGTGTGTGTGTGTATGTGTAGTCCAGTTTTCATCATAGGTAACATAAAAACAATATCAGAAAGAATTACTTTTAAAATACAATTAAGAATTACAATTTTAACAATACACAATTTTACAATAATTCAGATTTGGGCATGATAAGAATTATACATATTTGATAAATACATTTTTAGCTCTCATAATAGCAATGAAGATTATACAAAAGTTATTAAACAATATGAAAATATATTTAAGTTTCACTTATATATCTGGGGTGTTTCATCTGGGTTCTTCCAGAATGATTTGATCATATTCTTTACCTTAACTTTCGAGGGAGTTCAAGAAGATATTCATGTTTTTAAACGCTAAGATGATCATTCCTAACCTCTTTATTCTAACATGTGAGTGTATAAGTCCAGAAATAGGTTGGTAAAGCTATGTTTTAATATAGTGTGAATGCACAAAAGATTGATCAGTAGTGAATAAAACTAAAGGTGAAATAATTTCACATAATTCTGATATTTGGTTAGTTTGGTAAAATAGTTTTAAAGGCTATCTACATTTTTCCTGACACCTTATCCCACCCAACAACAAACCCTGAGTTTTTCATCAAGTAGAGAGGTTGTTCTATTTATGTTTTAAAATTCATAAATCTATATACATGTGATATGTAAGTATTTAATGTATCATAATTTATGTGACAACCAGATGCTCTCTACACAATCGTATGAATAACTTAATTAAGCACTTCTTTCTCCCTCATTTACTTCTCTATCCCAAATATGCATCCTCCTATGGTCATTCAGTGAAAGAAGTACCAAGTATTTCTTTCTGTTAATGAGTCAGAGGTACTTATAGACATATGTAAGGTCCACAATAACCCTATGCAAATTCTTTTATATGAGATTAGAATATCTTAACATAAATTAGAAATCCTCTTATTATCATCTTTTTCTGAGGTGAAATGAGACACTGCACAGATTAGAGGTACTATTCTATTTGCCAACAATCAACCTTTCACTCAATTTCAATATTATTTAATTCTATGGAAAAGAACAAATTTTATTACATTCCTTTTTAAAACGGGGGAAAAAACTGTACAAGCATGATCAAACCTCTGTTAGAGCTGGTTAATACTGATCTTTTATTATTGCCTCGAAGTCTCTCTAGTAGTGTCCGAGAAATTATGTTTAAGGTCCATCTGAAGGAAAAAAGCACTGAAGAGGCAAGAAAGGACTCAGATAAAAGCTTCAGAGGATTGTAGTGAGATGGAACTTGCTGTTTAAAAAAAATTACGTTGAGTTCTGGAGAATCTCCATTTCTTAACACACCTTCCAAACCCATTATTCAAATAGATTTACCCATGTTTTAAAGGCTCGTGTTATATGCCATTTTGGGGCTTTTATAAATTCAGAAATTAAAGGAATATATGAAGAGTGGGCAGTGTTGAAGGCTTCGGAGTTGGGCTATAAGAGACTTAATACTGCAAAATAAGTCTCCAAACAAAAACGTCCAGTCCACCCCACCCTAAAACCTGTGTGTAATAGGAGAAAATGCACAGCCAGAAGCATAGAAAAGCATGTAGCCTTAAATAAATCATACACTGAACAGTCTAGAACCAAAGAAAAAAACCAAACAACATACATATACATTAAAAGGCCTTAGAAGCATCTATTCTCTTTATGTCTTTAGTGAGTACCTCTACCCCAGTGTAGTTATTAAAACAAGTTATCTGTTATTTAAAGTAAAAACTGTGTTTCCCCATCATGCTCCATTTTCTAGAATCTATCCTTTTTGATTAGTTGGTGTAAACAAAAAGCAAAACACATACACATGCATGCGTGCACACACACACATATATATACTCCCTCCTAAAATGTGAAAAATGCAAATATATAATGCTGGTATTATAAAATCACTTCAGCTTTATACTTAAGAACTTATAGGCCCTTGATTTGCCCCCCAAAAATATTTTCCCTTGTCCTTATACTTTAAATGCCCAACCACCAAAAGAAAAAAGGAAAAAGAAAAAGGCTTTAAATGCACATGTTTCAAGTCAGTGTCTTGTTAACAAAAAGGTAGCACTTTCTTCACTTTGGCCATTGTTAAAGATGCAGGCATAGATCAGGGAATGTTAGACTAGCATGTATTAAAAAAAAATTGCAACATTAACAGAGCATGTATCTTTCAAAAAAGATTAAAACACTAACATATACAAGTCAATGCACATATTTTAAACTAGTGTAATTTTATCTACATTGGAGTAAATGTCATTTTGTGTACCAGACATTGCAATACTGTTCATTTCCCTTTCATCATACGAAAATGCCAATTCTGTCATTAAGAAACCTTTATTGGGTCATATTAATATTGCCCTCCCACCCAAATTAAAGGAAAACCAAAAAAGAGAAATAATAAATCCCAGTAAAAGAGCTCCTCAAGACCTCATAAACTATGAACATAAAGTTGCTAGTTAATATGGTAAAGGCAGAATTTTCAGAGTTGTATGTAAAAATTCCTATAATTTAGGTAGATGTTTTCCTCTCATTACAAATCTTTGCAATGAAATGTGAAGTAACGCTACGACAAAATCTGTAGCAACTGTACAAAAGCAAAAGCAAGGGGCCATGAAAAAAAGTTGTGTGTTCTTCATGACCTGAGAGCATACACACTGAGTAATTTTAAAGGGTAACATAAGAGCCTGACATTTTTCTGTATTTCACCTCTTCTGCCATTCTATCTGTAAATTAAAGTCAGTAACATCTTAATAGCAGAGGTCTAGTCTATCTCCCTTTCTTCTCTCCTAATTCTACTCAATTTTCTCTCATCTTCCTGAGTACCCTTCCATGAACAGCATTGCAAGTTGGTTTAAAAAAAAAGAGAAAGAAAGAAAAAAAAGAAGAAAAAGAAAGTGAGTTTTACAAGGGTTTTGTTGGTTAATTATTTACTGGTGGAGTCACTCCACCAGGAGTTTGATTTCATTGGCTATCAGCTGGTTCATGTTGAATAGGCCCCCCGGGAGCTTGGTCAGTAGCTCTCGCTCCGTGCTTTCAGGGTCGCTGTCAACAGAGCTGGAACTTGCGCTCATGTTGTCGACAGCAGTGCTGGCTGGGGGACCCAGCTCCGGCTCACTAGTCTCACTGGCCGTGGACACCACGGAGAGCAGGGACATACGCCGGGTGAGCCGGCCAGAGGGCAGGAGGGAGGCGGCATAGTCCGCTATGATACCAGCTACATCTAGATTACAAGCCTTATCAAAGGCGATGAAACCTACATTTGCATTGGCCTCGCAGACACAGAAGGAGCCGTCATCTTTCATCAATAGGTCAATGCCACACACATCCATCCCCAGGATATTAGACACCTGGATAGCTAGCTGCTTCCCTTGTTCACTCAAGGAGCACATCATCCCCACACCACCTGGCAAAAAAGAAACAACGTAAGTTACCAAAATGATAAATTTTTAGAGTAAAACTAAAGCTTGCCTCTAATGCTGATTGTCTTTTAAATTAGCAGTGATAACAAATGTGCCATTCTAGTGTAAAATTGTGACTTCCGAAATCTAAGTTTCCTTCATTAGAGAATCCCTGTTCAATTCAAAGAAATAACTTAGTATTTTTTCAATATGCTATTTTTTTCTGAAGACGGCATTAAACTTTCACAGAAACTTATTTTACTTGCAATAATATGGATTGAAGTGATATTCTAAAGACTTCATATTTCTATGAAGGCAGAGGAGAGTAGAAAACGGGGAGTATCAGGGAAAACTGTTACTTTCTCAAATAATAGGAGGAAATAAGTGTCTGATTTAAGCAAAGGGAAAGAAAAATTAACCCCTAATGGAATGTAAAACTGTGTCTGAGCATCCAGGTTGACTGAGTTTGGGAACCGGGGTGGAAATGGAATTAATGGTACCTTACAAACCAGCAAACGTAAAATAAAACTGGAATAAAGGAATAACATGAATTGTATTAGCAATTATGCTAAAAACAAACTGAAATTTCCCATGGAAAAGGTGGAAACTGGTCAGATTGGTATGAAAGACAAAGTTTATCTATATACTGTACCAAACAAAAAAATTTCTGAAAACTAAAGGGATGGGCAAAGAGATGAGGGACAAAGGCAAAAACAAACTTCACTTCATAGCTTTATACCTCTTGAATATGGTATATACCCCCATACCCATTTTTCCTTTACTGACAATAAACAATCATGTGTTTGCCCAAAACAAACAAAACCTTAACAATTTTTTTTTTAAGAGAAAGAGAGACCATGTAAGTTGGGGGTTGGGACAGATGGAGGGAGAGAATGAATCCCAAGTAGGCTTCAAGCTCAGCTCAGCGTGGGATCTCAAAACCCTGAGATCATGACCTGAGCCAAAATCAAGAGTCAGATGCTCAGCTGACGGAGCGGAGGTGTCCCAACAAATTATAAAACACTTTTTACAGGCAACATTCTCTGACAATAATGCAAGAAGATTAGAAATTAGAAATTAGGAGTTAATGATTTAAGTAACCAAAAGGTTATTAAGGACTTAGAAATTGGAACTGATCCCCTAAATTGAAGGAAAATGAATACCATCTGTAAAAACACTTCATACCAAAACTTATTTTGAAATTAGAAAGAAATTAAGTACTCTAAGAAGAAACTAGAAGAAACTAAGAAGAGAGACTTAATAAAGAAAACAAGTTGAATGATTAGAATAGAAAAAATAGAGAAAAAAATCCGAATGCTACTTTGACAAAATTATGAATGATATCAAAGAAAGAAATGCAAACAAAAGAGATTCAAATAAACAAAAACAATCATCTCATGAAACTGAGACTGAGGCCTGCCTGAAACCTAAAACAAATGGCTGATTTTTTTTTCTTTTAAGATTTTACTTATTTGACAGAGAGAGAGACCGCGAGAGCAGGAACACAAGCAGAGGGAGTGGGAGAGGGAGAAGCAGGCTTCCTGCCGAGCAGGGAGACCGATGTGGGACTGGATCCCAGGACCCCAGGATCATGACCTGAGCTGAAGGCAGGTACTTAACCACTGAGCCACCCATGCACCCCACAAATGGCTGATTTCTAAACAAACAAGAAATCAGCATTCATCCAAGAAGAAGCAAACTTTATTAAACAGGCCAACTATTATTAGAGAAGAGACTGGAAAGGTGATAAAAGAGCTACTTCTACAAAAACAATCAGGACCAGATGGTTTCAAAGTGGAGTTTTCTTTAGCTAACCTTTATTCCAATGTTAACTTTACCTGTAGAATGCCCTAGGAAAAGACTGAAAATTTCCCAATACACCGAATGAAAACCAATGTTATATAACCTTGATCAAGTCATTTTAAAAAGTATTATAGACCAATCTTTAATTATTAAAATAGATGTGACTATTTTACATGAAATATTAAAGGAATCCCAATTTAAAAATATGCTAATATCTATTATTTAAAGAAGGTTTATTCTAGAAATGCAAGGGTAGTTCAAAAACTATTTTAAATCTAAAATTTATCAACATAATCCATTACACATAAAGAAATTAAAGGTGGAAAACACACTAAATGATCTTATCAATACAAGGATTCCAAAAGGCACTGGATAAAATTAGACAATCATTCCTACTTTAAAACTCTAGTAGAATAAAATTACTTAAGTATTCTAAATAGCAAATTAAATCTATTTCAATGAAAATCAGAAACTTAGGGGCACCTGGGTGGCTCAGTCGTTAAGCGGCTGCCTTCGGCTCAGGTCACGATCCCAGGATTCTGGGATCGAGCCCCACCATTGGGCTCCCTGCTCCGTGGGAAGCCTGCTTCCCCCTCTCCCACTCCCCCTTGTTCGTGTTCCCTCTCTTGCTGTATTTCTCTGTCAAATAAATAAATAAAATCTTAAAAGGAAAGAAAATCAGAAACTTAGATACTTAAAATCATTACTTAACACTGTACCAGAGGTTCTAAAGCAGTGGTTCTCAACAGGGGAGAATTTAGAAACTGAATGGTGGCATTTTGGGCTGTTCAACTGAGATTAGAGGAGGAGGGCTCTATAGCCGACATTTAGTGGTTATTGGTCAGAAATGTTAAACCAAAAAGATGACAAATATAATAAAAAGCAATTCATATACAAGTACATGTAAATTACCAATAAGCTTTGAAAAGATACTCCCATCATTAACAGGGAAATAAAATTAAAGTTAACAGTGAGAGAGCATTTTGACTCCCATTAGATGGGAAAAACTTAAGACGAAAAAAAGTAACAGTGCTTGTGAGGCGGAGACGAAAAAAGGGTATTTTAATATGTCAGAAGTAAAACTACACTGATAGCCTTCTGGTAAATTACTCTGGCCACATCTATAAAAATTAAAAATATTTTGACCCAGCAATACCAATCTGGAGACTCCTCAACACAAAAGTACCAGTTTGTAAAAGCATTATTCACAAAGATACGTATTTAAAGTAACATGCTCACAGTGGCAAAAAACTGAAAAGTGCAAATCAATAAAGGGACAGATGTATAAATAGGTGAAAGGAGAGTAGAAGAGGTAAGGAAAATGGGGGGATGAAAAGGATGACATTTAAATGATTTTATAAAATTATTTGTGTATAAAATTATTTAAAATATTTTAAAGTCGACCAAAACCTATTCATTATGGAAAAACCAAAAGTCTCCGCAAAAATAGCTTGAAAGCTGATTTCCAATACTAACCATAATTATCTAACCTTTAGTTAACTATCATCAGATGTGTCTAGGTAATTTCACATAACTGAGATTATAATATAGTTAATAAACATTAAGAAGAGTACAGAGGCACATAGCTTAATAGTTTTTTAAAAAGGCTATTATGTCATTTCCTTGAAAATCTAAATGGTATCTGCATAGCTTCCATGTAATTTTGCCAATTTTGGACATCAACATATTCAAAGAGTGGTTAAGAGAACAACTCTGGAGCCAAATAGTACATTTGCATTCTGGCTGCACGATTATTAGATCTATATCTTGAACAAGTTACTTAACTGTTCTGGGCCTTCCTCATCTCTAAAATGGGAATACTAACAATACCTAGCAATATCTAAAGACGTTAATAGTCATTAAGCACTTACTACAGTACCAGAACTGAAGAGATATAGTTACCTTTACTGTAAATACTGAATATAAGAGAATATTCATATAAAAAAGGCCTCTGAACAACTTGCTGCCAGAGGGGAGGGGGCAGGGAGGATGGGTAAAATAGGTGAGAGGGATTAAGAGGTACAAACTTCCAGTTATAAAATAAAGAAGTCATGGGGGTGCCTGGGTGGTGAAGTCCTGAAGCACCTGACTGGTTTTGGCTCAGGTGGTGATCTCGGGTTCATGAGATTGAGCCCTGCCTCAGGGCTCTCCCTTCCTCCCTTCCTCTTCCCCACTCGGCCTCCCCTCTAAGCATGTGTAAATCTTTTAAAAAAATAAACGAATAAATAAATAGGTCATGGAGATGAAAGGTATAGATGAAGGGAATGAATATAGTCAGTAACATTGCAATATACGGTGGCTACTATGTTTGTTGTAGTGAACATCGAGTAATTTACAGAATTATCAAGTCACCGGGTTGTACACCTGAAACTAGTATGTCCACTACACTGCAATGATAAGTATTTTTAAAATGTGAGATACACACACACAAAGGAATATTTTTTAGCCATAAAAAAAAAAAAAGGAATCCTACCATTTGCAGCATGGATACTAAGTGAAGTAAGTCACAGAAAGGCAAATACTGTATGATTATATGTGGAATTAAAAAAAAAAAAGCTCACAGAGAACAGATTGGTGGTTGTCAGAGGCAGGTAGGGGAGAGGCAGGGGAAATGGGTGAAGGTGGTCAATGGGTACGCGCTGCCAGTTATAAGACGACTAACTTCTGAAGTATAATGTATAGACTGATGACTATTGTTAACAGTACTGTATTATATATTTGAAAGTTGCTGAGAGCAGTTTTTTTTTTTTTAAGATTTATTTTTATTTCAAAGAGAGTGAGAGAAGCAGACTCCCTGCTGAGCACAGAGCCCCACAACACTGGGCTTGATCTCACAACCCTGAGATCCTGACCTGAGCCAAAATCAAGAATCAGACACTTAACTGACTAAGCCATCCACACGTCCCAAGAGTAGATTGTTTTAAAGTTCTCACCACACACACACTCCAGTAATAAATGAAGCAATGGATGTGTTAACTAATTTTATTGTGGTAATCATTTTGCAATATATACATATATAAAATCACTATGTTGTACATTTCAAACTATACAATGTTATATGCCAATTATATACCGATAAAGAGAAAAATAAATATCTGGATTATCAAAAAAAAGGGGGGGCCTCCCTGGGGATAGAATAATGACGGCATTCAATTTTGAAGAATAAGGTAGAGGTGCTCTTGCTCTATCAGATATTTAGGCATAATACTAGAGGACTTAAGATTGATAATCATATAGGGAATAAAGAGTATATAAAACAGACCAAAGGACCCTGAAACAGAAGGAAAATAGCATTACAAATCAGTAATGAACAGGCTATTCAATAAATAGTGCTGGGAAAACCAGTTGTTACTCATTTGGAAAAAAGAAAATGGAATCCCTATCTTACACTGAACAACAAAATCAATTTCAGGTAGCTTAACAACCTAAACATGGTAAGCGAAACTTGAAAAACTTTTAGAGGACTATATACAAGAATAGAATTGGGTGAAAAAGACTTTCTTTTTCACAGGGTGAAAAAGAATTTCTTCAATAAAAAATAAAGAATGTAAGGAAAACCATGAATATGCTGGACACTAAAACTGAAAACTTCTGTTCACTAAAATATATAAACCAAAAAGATGAGGAGAGCCTCAGTGGCTCAGTCGGTTAAGCAGCTGCTTTCGGCTCAGGTCATGATCTCAGGGTCCTGGGATGGAGCCCCACTTCTGGCTCCCTGCTCAGCAGGGAGAGTATGCATCTCCCTTTCCCTCTGCCTCTCCTCTCTCTCTCTCTCTCTCAAATAAATAAAATCTTTGGAGAAAAAAAAAAGATGAGATATCATAAGCTGGGATGAAAACTGCATTTACAATTCATGTAAATGATGAAGGACTTGAAATCAGATTATATACAGGACTCTTTTTCAAGTCATGTTAAAAAAAGAAAAAAAAAATCCAAAGAAAAGGAGGCAAAAGACCTCAACAGGCAATTCACAGAAGATGGATGAAGAGGGTCTGAGGTACAAATTAAAGTAACATGATATAACGTCACACCAGTCTGACAAAATGTTTAAAGTCTATCAATACCACAAGTAGGTAAAGAGGTGGTACTACAAGAAAGAAACATTATATAATAACTTTGGACACTCATTTGGCAATATCTAGTAAAGGTGAAGTTGTATAATTCACTAGGATACAGAAATCCACTTCTGAGTGAATGGGCTAACCTACAAACACAATTGGCCCTGTATCTAAGGATACAAAAAAATTTTCATATCAACACCGCTTATAAACGGCCCAAATTGGAAGCAGTCAACAGGTAAAATTATGCAGGAGGGAAAATTAATCAACTACTGCTACAATGTTGACACCGATGAATCTCAAAAATGATGCTGTGAAAAAAAAGTTATAAATCATTTATATAAAGTTTTATGACACACAAAACAATACCTTGTTTAGGAAGACAGAAGAACTGGAAGTACTTTTTTTTTTTTTTTAAGATTTTATTTATTTATTTGAGAGAGAGAGAATGAGAGATAGAGAGCACGAGAGGGAAGAGGGTCAGAGGGAGAAGCAGACTCCCTGCTGAGCAGGGAGCCCGATGTGGGACTCGATCCCGGGACTCCAGGATCATGACCTGAGCCGAAGGCAGTCGTTTAACTGACTGAGCCACCCAGGCGCCCCAGAACTGGAAGTACTTTTAAGGTAAAAAGAAACATCAAGTTCAGAACTTGGGGAGAAGAGGGAGAAATGACCAGGGAGGGGAGTAAACAGAGAACATAATTAAATTAATTTATTTCTCAAGTCGGCTAATGGTTTCAAACGAATCCTTTATATTCTCCTTCATACTTTCCTGTAAGCCTGTTACTTCAAAATTTAAAAAAGTATCACTTTTTAATATAAAATTAACTTCCTTTTTAGTATAAAAAGTAATTGTTAATTAAATCTCAAGGTAGAAAAGTAAGAAGGTAAAGGTGTTCCAGAAATGAGAAGATGCTATTCAGCTCTGTAGCAGCCAATAAGCATAATATGACGGGATGGAAAATGTAAAATGGGATATGAAGAACTAATGCCAGGAGGCAGAAATTATTTTTCAAGAGTACAAAAGAGGCTTTATATCACTATTAGCTTTTAAATTCCCTGTGCTCCTATTCTATGCACTATGCTGAATTTCACATTTATCAATATTGTTTTTTACAGTTTACTACATAAATTTATATTCCCAGCAAACTAGTATTGATTTTTGCATATATTTAAATTTTATATAAATGGAATCATACTATATTTATTCTCTTCTGTGACTTTCATTTCTTCTCTCAACATTATGTTTCTGAGATTTGCCCCTGAGGTTGTAATCTCAGAGTAAGTAGGGGTCAAATCTTGCAGGGCCTGTTAGTCCACTGTAAGACCACTATAGACTACTCTACTTTGAATGAAGCAAGGAACCACTGGAGGATTTTAAACAAAGCCTGACTTAATTTGACTTGTATTTTAAAAAGATCTATCACATCACTGCTGTGTTAGAAACAGACTGTAGGAGAATAAGGATGGAAGCAAGAGGACCAATTAGGGGTGACTACAAGTAATCCAAATAAGGTAAGACAATATTAATGGCAGAGATAATGAGAAATTGTCAGATCTGGATACATTTTGAGAGTAGAAATAAAGAAATTAGAATCTGACAGTTTTTATATGTGGTATAAGACTCGATGACTAAGAATCTGGTCTAAATTGGAGAGTTGCCATTAAATGATAAGGAGAAAACGGGGGGTGAAATACACTGGGACGGGGAGTTTTATGGGGAGTTCACTTTTGGACAGGATTAAAATGTCTGTTAGACAACTACTGGTAGATACTGAGTAGACAGTTATTTATAGGTACTTGGAGTTCAAGAAGAAAGCCTAAGGTAGAGATATAAATTTGAAAATAACAACACAGATAGTATTTAGAGCCACAACCAGATCAGAGACTAAGAAAATGAAATACACAGAAAAGTAAAAGCTCTAAGGCACTTCAACAATAAGAGATCAAAAAAACACACATTAAAGTAAATCAAAAGCAGTAATCTTGTTTGGACCAATGGGTAAAAGAGGTTAGGACCCAGCTTGAATGAACTCCAATTACACACAAAATAAGTATTATCACCAAAGATGGAATTTTTAACTCTGGTCAGACATTTCACACAAGTGTGAATTGGGTTACAAATTGAGCATGGGTAAAAGCAAATTTATGTTTCAGAGAAATCCAATTTTATTACTAGAAAAACAACTCACAAGTATATTATATTCATTATAAGTCTACTGATCATAGTTATAAGTGAAAGATAATAATGTTTTCAACTTACTAAGTAAAAAGACCTGTAGTTATATATGAATACTCACTGGACAAGCTATAATATTATATATACTAGAAAGACACCTGTATTGTTTTTACCTAGTGAGCAGTTGCTCTGCATCCTTCCATCTGTTGAACAACGTAACATGGTGCCAACCACACGGCCTCCCACAACAATGACACGCACATCCCGTCCATGAGACTCCTTAACATACTTCTGGAACAGGTATGGAGCTTCATGGCGAATAAGATGGCTTAGATCAGCCAAATGGTGCTTATCTCGAGCCAAGAAAACCGCTTTGCCTGTGGTTGAAAAAGAATACAAAAAATATGTAAGTCAAACTCTGAGCAGTTGATATGTATCACCTGCATCTTCTTGGGTCTCAACCTGCTCTTTCAGGATCTATTACTTTTTTAACCAAAGTAACAGTTATGGTAATGAGTAAACAATGCAAAAATGTGTATAAAGTTAATACTCTCCTACCACTCCCTTAATTCCTACACTACTCTAGAATTCATTTCAGTATTATGTCATGAAGTAGGGGTCTAAGATTTGTATTCTTCCAGGTGAGACAATAATGCCGGCCTCATTTATTAGCAAGACATTTCCCTCTGAGTAAAAACAAGTCTTACATATTATTATACGATATATATAACACTTGCACAGAATAAAATAGTATGTTACTACATACCTAGTTTTATTTCTGAGTTCACTAGACAATTCCATTACTGTATTTGCCAATTTCTGTGATAAAACAAGTGGCTGTTTTTAAAACACGGGTATGGGGCCCCTGGGTGGCTAAGTCAGTTAAGCATCTACCTTCAGCACAGGTCAAGATCCTGGAGTCCTAGGATCCAGCCTGCATCAGGCTCCCTGCTCAAAGGGAGACTTTCTCCCTCTCCCTCTGCCCCAACGCCAGCTTGTGATCGATCTCTCTCTCTCTCTCTCTCTCTCTCAAATAAATAAAATCCTTTAAAAACAGTAAAATAAAACGGTACAAATCCTTTGACATTCTTCCCACCAAGAAGAGGGGGAATCTTTGTCCTTTCCGTTTGAATCAAGGAGGGGCTGTGATTGCTTCAGACAATGGAACACAGCAGAAGCTTTTCTGTATGACTTCTGAGGCTAATTCATAAAAGATCATGTTGCTTCTGTGTTCACTGGAGCCTCTCTGTGGAGCCCTAAGACTTCTTGGCTGACATAGTGGAGACCTAATTATAAACAATACATTCAACAGTCCCAGCTGAACCTCAATCCAACTATCTCTGTCAAGGTATCAAGCTTTATGAAGTACTTGGATTCATGAACATTTTGAAAATGAAATCCTTACTATTCTATAGCTTCATAGCTTTGCTTTATATATTTAAGTCTTCAAACTATATAAATTGGGACAGGGATCACTGGAGTTAGTGATCCAAGGTCCTTGCATTGTTAAAGAGAAAGATAAAGATATAATTTGAAGGTTGGTCTAAATTAAATATGCATCTTAAAATCTCCAGGACAACCACTAAATGAACAGAAATAGCTTCTAGGGGCACTTGGGTAGCTCAGATGGTTAAGCGTCTGCCTTTGGCTCAGGTCATGATTCCAGGGTCCTCAGATAGAGTCCCACTTTGGGCTCCTGGCTCAGCAGGGAGCCTGCTTCTCCCTCTCCCTCTGCCCCTCTCTCTATCTCTGTGTCACAAATGAATAAATAAAAAATCTTAAAAAAAAAAAAAAGAAAAAGCTTCTAGCCAAAGTGAACAACTCACAGTAGACTTCCATAAGTTTGAAGTACCATATACCAACAATTTCCTTCTATTCTCCCAAAGTCCTTTCAAAAGCTATACATTTCAATTGTTAAGACTACTGTCTAGTCAATAACCATGAGGAATTACAAAGAAAATAATAGCAATGATCAGATTAAGAAAAATTTATTTTGTATAATCACCCTTATTAATTCTCAAGAGTAATCTCAAAATGATGTACCACAGCAACAATTCATACACACCTCTATGACCTCGAGTATTCTTCACTACCATTGGGAACTCCAGTACTTCTGCTTCGTCAATCATTTTAGCAAAATTTTCATGACCGCCTGGTTTGAGCAAAAAAGAAATTAAGAACAGTAACATAGGTGTTATGTGGTAAGTTTTATCTATACTAAAGTCAGCAACACAGAGGAGGTAGAAGGTTAAGAACCTGATGGCTAAATTTTTTCTTAAAGGAAGTAATTAAAAGTCGAGGGGTGCCTGGAGCGCCTGGGTGGCTCAGTCAGCTGAGCATCTGCCTTCAGCTCAGGACATGATCCCGGGGCCCTGGGATCAAGCCCCACATGGGGCTCCCTGCTCAGTTGGGAGTCTGCTTCTCCCTCTTCCTGCTGCTCATGCTCTCTCGCACACACTAATAAATGAAAAAATCTTAAAAAAAAAAAAAAAGGTTGAAGGGTGCCCGGGTGGCTCAGGCGGTTAAGCATACGACTCTTGATCTCAGGTCAAGTCTTGATCTCATGATCTCACGGTCATGAGTTCAAGCCCCACGCGTAGCATGGAGCCTACTTTAAAAAGCTGTTAAGTAACAGTTAAATACCAGTTTGAAACAACCCCTTTTAAAATGGATGAAAGCTATCTTAAACTACAAATATTCTAGTATCTAACTTAAAGAAATTAAGTATCTTTCAGCTCAGTTTCCTAATTCTATATGGTATTTTATATTTTTATCCCTTATTCCTCTGCTACACAAAATAACAGAAACATCAAGATCTACTTCCGTGTACTTATTGCCTGGTTTAGAATAAGAAAAAGAAGAATGAGTCTGTTTAGAAGACTCATCCAAGGTTGATGCTATGTGTGTTCTCTCCCTCTCACGAAACATACAAATTAATTTTTCTTATCTTCATTATTCATCAGAGTTCTTTCTACACTGAGCCACCTAGTATCCATGAGTTAAGTTTTATTCTTTCCTGTTTTTATTGCCTAAGAACAAATGATACAGTAATAAGATTAGAGAAAAAATGAACTATAGTTGTAAAAAATCAGCATGGTGATATAAAAAAATTAAACCAGGAAAAAGTTCACTAATCAAATGCAGTATCATACATTTATAGCTTAGAGAAATTATGATGATTCAGTCCAATTTTAAACCTTCAACATGAGAGTACAGGTAACATGTGTTAATTTGTTTAACCCTTTTCTCCTTTCCACTCTCTTGAAATCTGAAGCATAGACTCATAATATAAGCTAGAATATCCCAAAAGCATCTGACAGAATTCTCAAACATACTGTCTCTTCTTATGCAATTGCTGAAAACAGCAACTGTATCCACACATGCCATACAGACTTGGGGAGCCCCTTTCTTTAAAATATTTAAGCTGGGGGGCACCTGGGTGGCTCAGTAGTTAAGCATCTGCCTTCGGCTCAGGTCATGATCCCAGGGTCCTGGGATCCAGCCCCACATCGGGCTCCCTGCTCCACGGGAAGCTGCTTCTCCCTCTCCCATTCCCCCTGCTTGTGTTCCCTCTCTCGCTGTGTCTCTCTGTCAAATAAATAAATAAAATCTTAAAAAAAAAAAATTTAGGTTGGGGCACCTGAGTGACTCAGTCAGTTGAACGTCTGACTCTTAATTTCGGCTCAGGTCATGATCTCAGGGTCATGAGACTTAGAGCCCTGCGTCAGGCTCCACACTCAGTGCAGAGTTTGCTTGTCCCTTTCCCTCTAATCCTCCCCACACGTGCGTGTGTGCATGCGTTCTGTCTCTCTCATGAATAAATCGTTTATGTATATATAAAAAAAAAGCCTCATTAACTCTCCAAAAACACTACTGAACATTTATTTGAGGAATTGTCTTTATGGGAAATTGTAATTATTTATAGCAAGTTTGATTCTTTCCAAACAAAAGAACTGGACAGGCAGGAAATATACTAACAAAATATTACTTATGGCAGTGCTACTCAAAAGCATTGCCTGGTAACCTGCGCCTGTTTGCAACTTCTCTGAAACTGATATGTGACCTGATAAATATAAAAAGAGAAGCACTGGAAGCTTTTATAGCAATCTTGCATTACTCAGACATTTTTATCATATGTTATAAGAGTACTGATCCACAGCATGGTGGTCTTTTAAAAAAAATGATCCTTTACCTTTACCATAGATAGTTTTGGAAGCACTGGTTTTCAAGTATACCTAGGACAGTGTCATTTTCTTAAAAAATATGAAAAATTTGGGGCGCCTGGGTGGCTCAGTTGGTTAAGCGTCTGCCTTCAGCTCAGGTCATGATCCCAGGGTGCTGGGATCGAGTCCCGCATCAGGCTCCCTGCTCCTTGGGAGCCTGCTTCTCCCTCTGCCTCTCTCTCTCTCTCTCTCTGTCTCTCATGAATAAATAAATAATCTTAAAAAAATATGAAAAATTTATGAAGAATTACCATGAAAATGCTGGTAAGGATAATCAGACATTAAACAGAGATGTCACCAAATTGTATTATCTTTACCGTGGCATTGGCAAACTAAGGCTTTTAAGACAGATTTGGTCCAGTGTCTTTTTTTATAAAAAAGTTTTATTGGACTGCCATACTCATTTAAGTGTGGTCTACGGCAGCTTTCACACTACAACAGCATTACTGAGGGTCACAAGAGAAGACTGACAACCCAGAAAGTGCAAAATATTTACTATTTGGCCCTTTATAAAAAGTTTGCTAAATCTACTCTCCCAATATCAAGGAATTAAATCTTAAAACAGATTTATAATTCTCATGCCCAGTTTGTTAAAACTGAAAGTTATTTTTTTTTAAGATATTTATTTATTTGACACAGAGAGAGAGACACAGCAAGAGAGGGGACACAAGCAGGGGGAGTGGGAGAGGGAGAAGCAGACTCCCCACTGAGCAGGGAGCCCAACGTCGGGCTCGATCCCAGGACCATGGGATCATGACCTGAGCCCAAGGCAGATGCTTAATGACTAAGCCACCCAGGCGCCCCAAAACTGAAAGTTATTTCTATAAAAAGTTCCTTCACATATCACATAACCCTATTAATTTAGTATGGCTTTCAAAACTGTAAGTGCTGTAAAACTTAGGCTACAAATTCTTATTAGTGAACTTACCATAAGAGAAAGTATCCGGCAAAGGAACACCATGGCCAGCCAACTCTTGAAAAGTCCAAAACTTATTAACACAGTTCAGGATGGCTTGAGGTCGGTTCATCAACCGGCATCCCATCTTCTCTAAATGGCGCAAAACAGTGATGTCACTATCACTTTGCACCCAAGGGGTTGGTACTCTCACTACCACCACTTGGGGATAGGCAGTAATTAGTTCTCCATTGATCCGTAGACCTGAAATATATAGGAATGAAGCCAAAACCATTAAAAGGGAATATACATATATACATATATATACACACTTTATATATATAGAGAGAGAGTTTGGGTCACAAAACTGAAAGTACAATACAATTTTGTTAAGATTTCACTGGAAGGAGACATTCCTTATATTCCTTTACAAGAAAAAAGAAAATTTAATGAGAAATATTTCTGCAGCGGTTAAATTATGTTATGTCAATAAAATGAAATACCACAAAGCCTTAAAAAAATGTCATGGAGGACCTGGCTGGCTCAGTTGGTAGAGCACAGGACTCTTTGATCTCAGGGTAATGAGTTCAAGTCTCACACTGGGTGTAGAGATTACTTAATAAAATTAAAAAGACTGTCATAATCTCTATGTTTAGAGATAGAAAAAATGTTCAGCTACGTAATGCTGAGTTTAAGAAAAAAAAAAAAAAGCAAATCTTGGGGCGCCTGGCTGGGTCAGTCAGTAGAGCCTGTGACTCTTGATCTCAGGGTTGTAGGTCCCAGCCACATGCTGGGTCTAGAAATTACTTAAAAATAAAATCTTAAGGGCGCCTGGGTGGCTCAGTTGTTAAGCGTCCGCCTTCGGCTCAAGTCATGATCCCAGGGTCCTGGGATCAAGTCCCACACTGGGCTCCCTGCTCAGCAGGAAGCCTGCTTCTCCCTCTCCCACTGCCCCTGCTTGTGTTCCCGCTCTCGCTATCTCTCTCTCTGTCAAATAAATAAATAAAATTGAATAAATAAAAAATTGAATAAATAAAAAATAAAATAAACTCTTAAAAAAAAAGCAAAAGCAAAGCCAATGTATGGAATTGTTGAAGCACTACACTGTACTCCTGAAATTAATATAAAACTGTATGCTAACTATAATGGAATTAAATTCTGTATTAATTCTATTTTTTATATGTTCATTTTAGATAAAGCAAGAAATAAGGAAGTTGCCATCTTTTATGGTTTTTCTTGTATGATTTTACGCCTAGGTGCTGCATTTTTTCAACACCTGCTAAGATTTATTCTTTAAAAAAAAAAAAATCCAAAAACAGGGGCACCCACCCAGGAGGCTTATTGGGGACCGCATGCAACGCTTGATCTCAAGGTTATAAGTCTGAGCCCCAACTTGGGTGTAGAGATTACTTAAAAATTTTAAAAGTCTTAAAAAAAAAAAAACCTGTTTGCATTAAAAAATAGTATGCTTGTTTTAAAACATTCAAATACAAAAATATATGATGTATTCAGCTCCCATCCAACATCCTAGGTACTCAGTGTTAACAGTGTATTTTCCCCACTGCTAAGTATAGAAAAATATTTAGATTATTTTTAGAAAAATTAGATATTTTACGTTACTTTCTCTCATCACTTAAAATTACACCAGAGACATCTTTCTGTCGGTACATATAACGTTTCATTTCCTTCTCTTTTTAGTGGATTAACTGGAATTACATCTTATATGAGATATACCATATGACCAGTACCTTACTCATAGACATTCATTTACTTAATATTAAGCAATTACTATGTGTCAGATTATTTTGTAAAGATTAGAAATAGATTGGCAAAAAAGGCAGATAAGGTCCTTATTCTTAGAAGAATCCATTCCAGTGGGAGAGACACTTTTAAACGTGGAAGTTCTAATATAGGAGAGAGAAGTGGGTTAACACCTGAGTTAGGGTATAAGACTTAGTTATTTGTGTGTTTAAAGAGGAAGGAAACTTCACATTTAAGGGAGTTGAAGTCACAGAGCAAAAGAGCAGTAAGAACAATAGGTGGTTCAACTACAATATTTACTAACAGAATGTAAAAGATAAGGTTGGTCATTTAAGGTGTCAAACATGAAAAGCCACAAGTTTTTATTAAGATATAACTGCCATAAGGACACCTGGGTGGCTCAGTCGGTTAAGCGGCTGCCTTCAGCCCAGGTTATGATCCCAGGGTCCTGGGATCAAGTTCCACATTGGGCTCCTTGCTCAGCAGGGAGCCTGCTTCTCCCTCTCTCTCCCTCTGCTTGTGCTCTGTCAAATAAATAAAATCTTAAAAAAAAAAAAGATATAACTGTCAGATAACACTGTATTAGTTTTAGGTGTACAACATAATGATTTAATATATGAAATACACTGGGAGATGATCACTGCAATAAATGTACTTAACATCTATCACTCTCTTAGCAACATTCAAATATACAATATAGGAATACCTACATGATTTAGTCGGTTGAGCGACCAACTCTTAATTTCGGCTCAGGTCATAATCCCAGGATTGTGAGACTGAGCCGTGTCAGGGTCTGCATTGGGTGTAGAGCCTGCTTAATATTCTCTCTCTTCCTCTCTCCCTCGGCCCCCTCCCCACCCCTTCTCTTTTTAAAAAAGAAATATACGCTACAGTATTGTTAGTCATAGTCACCACGCTGAACATTACATCCCTAGGATTTATTTATCTTATAATTTGGAAGTCTGTACCGTTTGACCACCATTTCCCATTTCCTCCACCCCACTACCCACCTCTGACAACCACCAAACTGTTTTCTGTACCTATGAGTTCGGCTTTTTTTGATTCCACATATAAGATCATACAGCATTTGCCATTCCTGTCTGACTTACTTCTCTTAGCATAATACCTGCAAGGTCCCTCCATATGTCACAAATGGCAGAATTTCCTTCTTTTCAATGGCTGAATAATATTTAAATATATGTACATATGTATCACATTTTCTTTATTCATTCATCTGTCAATGGGCACTTAGGTTATTCCTATGTCTTAGCTATCATAAATAATAAAGCACTGAACATGGGGCATAAAGATACATCTTTGAGAAAGTGGTTTTGTTTCATGCAGGTAAATACTTAGACCTGGAATTGCTGGATCCACAAATTCTAAGCTAAAGAGTTTGTATTTGTTCTGAGTAAGGGAACTCAGGGTGTGTGCTGCATACTGCCTGCTGATACTTTATACTATCCCCATCTTTTAATTCTTCTCTATATGGCAGGATCTAGAAGCATTTCCCACACTCCCTTACCAGCAGGATTCGATTTTGAAAATCTACCACCAAGAGAGAACTACACAAAAATTTAAAGGTCAAAGAGAAATAGAAGTCACTATTCTCAGGGGCAGCTGCACATAGGTATGTAGTCATTGGGAGATGTGAGGTTTTGCCAGTGGCTTCAGGGATTCCCATAATCGTTCATGGTGCGGCTACAGGTATCTTGAGATCAGCACCATACAGTTTTCTGCAATCCTGCACTTTGTCATTTTTTAAAAAATGTATTTTATTTATTTGAGAGAGAAAGCAGGGGGGAGCATACAGAGAGGGACAAGCAAAGCAGACACCATGCTAAGCATGGAGCCTGACGGGGGGCTTGATCTCATGACCCCGAGATTATGACCTGAGCCGAAATCAAGAGTCAGAGGCTTAACTCACTGAGCCACCCAGGAGCCCCCGCACTTTCTCATTTCTTAGGCTTTTCAGTGACTTGCCTCAATAGGCAAATGTAAAAAGCATTTTTTTTAAGACAGAAGAAACTTATTGACCAGATTGGGAGCTACAAGTTTTTAAACTAGGACATGAAGAATGGGAAAGTTAAAAAAGAAAAACCATTTTAGGGCAGAAGATGCTGAATTTGGATACAAAAGATTCCAGTGATAACAGGACATCAAAGTATAACTATTCTGTAACAGAAGTATGGGTTGAAACTATACATATATGTGTACATAATTCATATTGGGATTGTGAAGTGTGTGTACATGAGTGCATATTTTTACTTATTTGTCTGTTTACTGGAATTTGCCCAAGATATAATAGCTAAAGAAACAGGGCTATATAGGCGGAAAAAAATGGAAAAAATGGAGAAACCTAAGACCAAGATTTGATGGTATCAATAAGAGACAGTGAAAGGAATTAAAAACCTGAAGGGAAAAAAATCAGCCAAAAAACTAGGAAAATCTACTTTTAAGTAGTATTGTGAAAAATGAGAAAGGTCAGTATAATCAGGAGAGAATGATCAAATTCACTAAATAAAACAGAAGAAATAGGAAGGATGAGTGTTAAGAAGTTTGAGTGATCAGAAAAGGATACTGTCAATTGCCAAGAGAAACATTCAACCATCATTACATTTTCATCTCATTTCCCTACACTGCACTTTTAAGAAATGTGATAAAATTGGAGCACCTGGGTGGCACAGTTAGTTAATCGGCCAACTCTTGGGTTTTGGCTCAGGTCGTAAGATCGAGCCCTACGTCAGGCTCCACACTTAGCACAGAGTCTGCTTAGTACTCTCTCTCCCTTCCCCTTGTGCGTTCTCTCTCTCAAAATACACATAAATCTTAAGAAAGAAAGCAATGGAAATGTTCCACCCTTAGTCCACCCATCTGTTGCCACAGAAATCAGGAATATGGGAGTACTTTACCCAAAGTGCATATCTGCATACTACACTATATGGGTATTATTGATGAAAAGAAATTCAATACCTCTTGTATCAGAAACAAACACTTCTTTTTTTTTAGACAAGCAGAAGGTGAACCAAGACTAGAAAGAAGGACAGGTACAGATCAATGTGAGCCCAAAAAGGCAAAACAACATCTCTCAGAACTCTGCCTTAAGTGTTACTCATCTTTTGGGCACTGTTAGCAAATGCTGTACCATTACCTTTGATGTCGAGTTTATAAAACTGAAATATAAGATCCCTGTTATTCAGTATACACGTGCACGAAGATGTGTATGGAATTTTCCCCACAATTCCATTACACTCATTGTAAAACAGGTAGTGCAGTTGAATGCAATACCACTCACTTTGCTGGACTCCATTTTCTCAGAAATATATTTTTTACTTATCTTAAACCTCAACTTGTGAAACCATTCATCTAATTTTATTTTGTACTGGGATGAAGATTTCAATACAAATATTTTAGATTTTACATTTTAGATTAAGTGCATGATCAAGCATTAACAGCCAATAATAAGTGAACCTTGGAAAAGCAATGGGGGGTTATTCCTATAT